TGTCCTCAGGTGAATGAATACCGGTAAAGGACGGCATGGTGAGCAGGGCACTTTAGACAATCTGGTGGCCCTTGGAGAGGGGTCTCTGACTATTGACATAACATCATTTGCAAACATTAAAGATGCGAAGTCCCATCCCAGGCTTGTTGACTCAGAATCTCTGGCCCATGGGGACTAGTGTTTTAACAGGGCCCTCTTGTTTCTGATTAACATTAAGTTTTACAGTCATTTGGCTTAGTCTGTTCCTATCCCTAACTAAGCAGTGTGAGATAAATAACTTACCCATCTGTTTTCAATATTAATCTTTTTTTCCTTAGCATCATCTAAATCATCTTTTAGTTTGCACAGAAGGCTGCTTTTATTGTCCTGAGTGAAAGACATTCATTTATTGTACAGCTTTACGGTGGTGACGGTTTTAAGTGGAGAAAAATAAAAGACACACTAAAGAAAAGGCCCATGAAAGCAAGCAGTGATGAGGTAGAGACTGGAACAGAAAACAGCGCCAAATGCTTGCCACTGGAAGCATCCTCGGATAATTCCAGGTGCCCATGATTACCCCTAAATGAGCACAGACGCACATGAACACTTTCCTACTCGTGGAGTGTTTTGGAAGCTGTGGTTTGGAGTGTTCTCTTCCCTATGTATTCCGCCTGTTCATAGAGCCATCTATGTCCCGTTTTTTTGGTTTGTTTGGTTTTTTTCTGTGTGTGTTTTTTCATTCTTTTTTTTTTTTTTTTTTTTTTTTTTTTTGAGACAGGGTTTCTCTGTGTAGCTTTGTGCCTTTCCTGGAACTTGCTTGGTAGCTCAGGGTAGCCTGGAACTCACAGAGATCCGACTGGCTCTGCCTCCCGAGTGCTGGAATTAAAGGCGTGCGCCACCACCGCCCAGCTTGTTTTTGTTTTTTCAAGACAGGGTTTCTCTGTGTAACTATGGCTGTCCTGGAACTCACTCTCTAGACCAGGCTGGCCTCGAACTCACAGAGATCCACTTGCCTCTGCCTCCTGAGTGCTGGGATTTAAAGGTGTGTGCTACCATGGCCCTCAATGTCCCATTTCTTAAACTCCTGAATTCCCTTTTTGTTTTCCACACAGGGTCTTTCTGTCTCCTGCTGGGGATGGGGGTATGCAGCACTGTGCCTGGCCCCCCTTTCTTAGTCTTCCACGTTAGACTTTGAGCCTCACATAGAATAAAGCAGTGTTCTAAAGATGCTTTTCTCCTCACCCCAAACTCGGCGGAAGGCGAGATGAAGGGTGGGACTGTCATTCCTCACCTCACTGAGGTCACTGCCCTCTGATGCAATACCATCAAAAGGTTTGAAACACGAGTCTAGGTATCTTGTATGACAAAAGTGCGCTCTCTTTGGGAATTTTTTTCCAATTAATGTTTATCTGGACCATGGTATTCTAACGTAACATACGCACCCAATTGTAAAGGAATTAACGAGTAATGAAGTACAAAGGCCTCTTTCTCCAGTGCCCTCTCACTTCAGGAAAGCACCTTTGCAAGAATGAGAGCTGTGTATTCTGACATTTACCACGATGTGCCTAAATCTTGTGCTTACACTGCTGTTTTTTGTAGACAGGATAAAAATGTTTATTTTGAAACATGAGGATTTTATCCACTTTCATATTTTCATCAACATCCCAGTGTTGATCAGTGAATATCATACTTTCATTTGTCCATGACTCTCCTTTTTCTTTCACTTTTTGTTGCTAGATTGTGTTTGCTTTAGAACCAGGGTCTCTCTAGGTAGCACAGGCTAGCCTCAGACTCACAGGTCTCTTGCTACAGCACTAGACCGCAGCACCAGCACCTCCAGCTGACGACACAATTTTCTTGTCCACACATTTTGATAACATACTGCTTTTCTCTGTCCTTTCAGTTTTTTATATTAACACACAGCAATTGTCCATCTAAGGTTCAATGTGACTGATCCATATGTGCACAGCATTCACGCTTCAACCCCCATACCCTGCTTAATCATTATTCTTTCTGGTTGACTTTTTTTTTTCTTTAAGACAAGATCTCAAGAATCCAAGGTGACCTCAAAATTGCTATGCAACCAAAGAGCTTCCAATCCTCCTGCCTCCACCTCCCACGCAGGGATTACAGGCCGGGACCACTATGTCCAGTCTTACAGGGTGCTGGGAATCAAAACCAGGGCTTCCAGCATGCTGACTGAGCATCCTAACAGCTGAGCTACTCCCCAGCCTGCTCAGGTTGACATTTTTGGCTGTCATATATGAGACTATGTGGTACTTCTGTGTGTACTTCATCTTACTCAGAGCGTCCTCCAGTTCCATCCTTTGGGCTAATAACAGGATTTCACTCATCTTACGGCTCATAACACTGTATGGGGTATGTGTATATAGTGCCATTATCCACTCAACTGCTAACAGACACCTCCACAGGTCTGCATCTTAGCTATTATACATAGTACTGCACTAAACTTTCAGTTTAATTTTAAAAAATTAGCAACTCCCACCATCTTGTATTCTATTCTATTCTTTATTTTTTTTTAATGTGTATTGGTGTTTTGGCTGCCTGTATGTTTGTGTGAGGGTGTAAGATCCCCTGGAACTGGAGTTACAGACAGTTGTGAGCTGCCATGTGGTTGCTGGGAATAGAACCCAGGTCCTCTGGAAGAGCAGCCAGTGCTCTTAACTGCTGAGTCATCTCTCCAGCCCCTAGTATTTCTATACTTATGTGTATATGTTCACGTGTTAAGTCATTGAAAATTCAAGCTTGACAGAAAATTGAATGTATCTTAGTCTTGTAAAACATTTGTTCTGTTGTGGAGGGAAGGGTCTTAGGCTACAACTGTTTTATAAACTACTAAACAGAAAAATTTCAAATGACTAAGATTCTTTTTTGTTGCGAGGTAATTTTGGGTAGAAGACTGCAGTTTTACCTTTCCAATGTAAGCTTATATATTCCATATGAATAAACACTTTTATCCACAAGGCTCAGGGACTCACCGATCCTTTTCATTCTGCTTTTAGACTTTATTTTATGTGTATGAGCATTTCGCCTGCATGTGTGTCTGCGCAAATATGCAGCAAACAGACCCACGGTGAGTGACGGCAGCCTCGCTGTGAAGCGAAGCCAGGTTTCTGGTCCTCTAAGGCTCTGGATGTCAGATCCTGGGCTACTGTAAAGGGCAGCAGGGTAATAATCTTGGCATAACATGAAGACTGAAAGTATAGTAATTCTGGCAATAACTGACTTCTTCCAAGTACTCTGCTTACTTTGGGATTGTACTCTGAAGAAAGTTTTACAATTAGATCCCCTCACTGCAGATTTACAACTCTGTAAGTATCTTTACCTGTTTTCTACTCTCACCTCTAGGAAGTCTGAAACACAGACCCAACCCCTCCCTACAGTACAGTATCCTGAATCTTTTTTAAAGTTATATACTATACATAAAAAATAGACAATATACGTTGATCATATTACCTCTCCTCCCCCAACTCCTTCAAGATCCTCCCCACATACCCACCCACACAACTTCATGTTCTTTCTCTCATAAAAAGGAAAAAACAACAAAAGATGAAAATCAAAACAGACACACAAACTAAAAAAGGAAAATCCTAAGACGATAACTACCAAAAAAGTCAGGCAGTGGTGGTGCACACGTCTTTAATCCCAGCACTCGGGAGGCAGAGGCAGATGGATCTCTGTGAGTTCGAGGCCAGCCTGGTCTACAGAGTGAATCCCAGGACAGCCAGGACCATTGCACAGAGAAACAAAAACAAATAAACAACAATACATAAGAAAACATGGAGTCTGTTCCGTGTTGGCCAGCTGCTCCCAGCATGGGGCCTGCCCTGGAGTGTGGTTTATATGCACAGCGGCACTGCACTAGAGAAAACTGGTTTTTCCTTCTTCAGCAGGTACCAGATGCAAACAGACTCTGGGTTAGGGGTGGGGCTTTGTGTCCACTCTTTAAACAACATGCAAACGTGTTGGTGGGCCTGCTCACCACCGACTGCCAACACGACGTAACTACACTTAATAGCATTTTAAAGACGAGCTGTGAAATCCATGCCTAGTTCTTTTCTTCATCACTCTCACAAACAGTCAGGGTAGGCTACGCAACCCCAGTGGCAAGGATGGGCGAGGGGTGGCAGGGTGCCAGCAGGAGCCGAGCGCTTTCACATTTCTCCTCTCCCACCCTGGCAAAAAGAAATTGGAGAGGAGTACCAATAAGATAAGAACTGGAAACATTCCTTTTTTTTTTTTTTTTTTATTAAGAAAGCATGCAAAAAAAAAAATCAAGTTGTGAGCCTATACACCCTCTTCCCAGCCTGCACCAATGCAAAGCATTATGGGTGGTATGAAGAACTCACCAAACCAGAAACATGGGAGTTGAGGAGAGGAAGCCTAGGATAGGTAGATCAATACCAAATGACTTCTCCTTTTGTCCTTCTCCTCTGCTTTTTCCCTTATTCCCTCTTATAGGCAGTGACTCCTACAATTTTGCACACATCACCCAAGACAACAACAATGACTAAACTTCACGTCCAGCAACACCGGACCAACAAAATAGTTTTCTTTCCACATCATGGAGGGGATGGGAAACTGAGGCCCAAAGGGAATCAAGTTTGTCCTGTGCCATTTTCCAAGCCTGAGCCTGGTGGAGGAGAGCTGGAACCCCAGGAGGCCTAAGGCCAGTCTCCAGGCCCCAGCCCCATACGTCAGCTGCTCTGGCTGCCCACCGGGGCCCTTCATGAGACTAGTTCTCAAGACACGGAGGAGCCAGGGGCATTTAGGAGTATGATTCAGCCTACCCTTCCCAAACTCATACAGATCTGACCAGGAAGGTGTTTAGAAAGAGGAGTGTTACTCTGAAAAGGCAAGATGTTGAGGAAAACCAAAGGGAAGCTGCGTAGAATATACCCGAAGGAAGGAATAAGGAGATGTCTAATCGGGCACCGGGCAATGGCATGTGCCACCCTCGAGAGAAACACTCCCTTCCCCAGTGGGAAACACTGATCATACTTCAACCCCACCAAATGCTCTCCAGTACCATCTTCCACTGTGTTGTAGGGCATTTGTTTTTTCTTATACCCCACCCCCCTCGTTTTTCCTTACAAAGGCTTCAAAAGAAATAAAGTGCTCTTTAGTGAACTGCCCTGTCTTGCCCCTTCACCTAGCCTCACTGGACCTCACCAATCTCATATATTAACCCCCTTCTGAAGAAAGGAAAGGGGTTGATGAGGGGGAAATCGGGATGGGAAGCCCAGTATCTTGGAAATCATGGGTGAAGAAAAGAAAACGAACAAAAATCAGAAAGCACAAAGAGATTGGCCTTGTCTAAACTATGTATTTTGGCCATTTCAGAAAAATGGAAGTAAACTTGGTCTTCCCTCTCATAAGCCAAATTCAACAAACACACTCACTAAGAACTCTGCAGCAGTAAGTCATGGCCACTTGCTGTTAAAGGAGGTTACTCATCCCCACGCCTGGGAGTGCCCCTTGCCTTTACTGCATCCTGTCTCCATATTAACTTCCCTCCTATGATTTTCATTGCCTGTCAAAATCAAAAGCTTCAGTCCCACTGACAGGGATTTCAAGAGAAGCGCTCCCTGCGTAATTAAACAAACGGCACATTCCCTGCCCGTATCTACGCCAATCCCCTTCCTTCTCCCCACCCTCCTATCAGCAAGACTACGGGCAGAGTCTGCTATGACAAGGAAAGAGGCTTTCGCAGCATGTCGAGGACATGAAAAAACTCGGAGTGAGAATGGCTTCCTCTTGTCATTTGAGAATGCCAGAAAATGGGAGAAGAAAGTAAGACAGGGGGATGATTTGGACAAACAGCTACAGGAAGACAAAATCGTATTTGCTGAAGGGGAAAAGAAGATGGAAGACAATTTACATATGCAGTAATGGCCACAGTTAATTCTCAGAAAGAACTTTTCTCAAAGCCAAATGCTTTAAATTGAAAGTGTTTCCAAGAGGCTGAACCTATGATGAACAGTGGTCCTCATGCCCTCCCATTCAAGCTAACCTGAGAGTATTAGCTAGGAGGAAGCAGGGATGCCTTGACATGGAAGGAGGAAGCCAGGGATGCCCTGACATGGCAGGAGGAAGCCAGGGATGCCCTGACAAGGCAGGAGGAAGCCGGGGATACCCTGACATGGCAGGAAGAAGCCAGGGATGCCCTGACATGGCAGAAGGAAGCCAGGGATGCCCTGACATGGCAGGAGGAAGCCAGGGATGCCCTGACATGGCAGGAGGAAGCCAGAGATGCCCTGACATGGCAGGAGGAAGCCAGGGATGCCCTGACATGGCAGGAGGAAGCCAGGGATGCCCTGACATGGCAGGAGGAAGCCAGGGATGCCCTGACATGACAGGAGGAAGCCAGGGATGCCCTGACATGGCAGGAGGAAGCCAGGGATGCCTTGACATGGCAGGAGGAAGCCAGGGATGCCCTGACATGGCAGGAGGAAGCCAGGGATGCCCTGACATGGCAGGAGGAAGCCAGGGATGCCCTGACATGGCAGGAGGAAGCCAGGGATGCCTTGACATGGCAGGAGGAAGCCAGGGATGCCTTGACATGGCAGGAGGAAGCCAGGGATGTCTTGACATGGAAGGAGGAAGCCAGGGATGTCTTGACATGGCAGGAGGAAGCCAGGGATGTCTTGACATGGAAGGAGGAAGCCAGGGATGTCCTGACATGGCAGGAGGAAGCCAGGGATGTCTTGACATGGCAGGAGGAAGCCAGGGATGCCCTGACATGGCAGAAGGAAGCCAGGGATGTCTTGACATGGCAGGAGGAAGCCAGGGATGCCCTGACATGGCAGGAGGAAGCCAGGGATGCCCTGACATGGCAGGAGGAAGCCAGGGATGCCCTGACATGGCAGGAGGAAGCCGGGGATGCCCTGACATGGCAGGAGGAAGCCAGGGATGCCCTGACAAGGCAGTGCACACCCAACCTCATGCAGATTTACACCCCGTCACTTCTCCATGACTTTCTACTCAACTCAGCTGTCCCAGTCCACCCTTTATGGGGAATGAGGACTGCCAGAAAAAGTAAAGACTGGGTACATAAAGGAAGAGTTCAGGACACAATTAGCACCATTGAGTAAAACCTGCAAAGTCATGGCTGCTAAGCAGTGTCTTAGACCCCTCCACTCGCTGAGGCCTATCCAGGCCAGCCTGAAACAGACAGGAACAGAACACAATTTAGAGCTGAAAGGTGGAAGCAGCATTGAGTTTCTCAGAGAGAAAGCTGAACTCAAATTCGAAACCTTTCTCTATAGCTACCACAGCCTCATCTTGCATCCTGAAGATTTCAAATAGGAAAGAGGAGGGCATAGCCCATGGTGAGGGGCAGTAGACTGGGCAGTATATAACCAATAATAACAATAATATAATTAGAATAATAATAAAAGAACTAGGAGGGAACCGGAGAATGAGGAAGGAAAGGGGTTATCTTCGGCAGCATCTCGCGGTGGCTCCTCTGACAGAGAGAACAGACAGAAGCTATATATCTATATACAGGTTTGGGGAGGATGGGCGGGGACCGTTCTTCCGCCACGGCGAGAATCCACCACCAGGCCTTGGGCTGACGTCCACTCTGACTCACTAAGTGATCAAGTCCCAGTCGAAGTCGTCAGCAATCTCCTCAGTGGCACCAGGAGGTGGGACGGGCGGCCGCGGAACCATGTGGTGTGCTGTCGAGAAGAAAGACAGACCAGAAAGGAAGCTGGATGAGAAGCAAGTCCATCAGTCTAGATGGGGAGTGTTCTGCCCCAATGACACCAGGAAGGACACAGAGACAGCACCAGACTGATCAGCCTGGGGTTCTTTCTGTTACAGACTATTCATTCAGCGACACCTCAGGAAACACACCAAAGCACATGCCATAAACTCTACCTGACAAAATAACTTAAGGAGGTGATATCATGTGAAACAGCAGCACAGAAAGTCACAGTTGCAGGGCACGGACAAAGAAACAGACATCATCCTAAACACTGAAATACTTGGGCTGGAGAGATGCCTCGGAGGTTAAGAGCACCGGCTACTCTTCCAGAGGATCTTAGTTGAATTCCCAGCAACCACCAGAGATCTGGTGCCCTCTTCTGGAGTGCAGGCATACATGCAGGTGGAACAGTGTATACATAAATACATAAATAAATAAATTTAAAAAAAAAACGCTGTGAGTTCGAGGCCAGCCTGGGCTACCAAGTGAGTTCCAGGAAAGGCGCAAAGCTACACAGAGAAACCCTGTCTCGAAAAACCAAAAAACAAAAAAAAAAAACTGAACTACTTGTGATCAAATAAAATGACAACAGTGAATTTCCTGAAATACATTTAAACATGAGAAATCTGTTCATGTGTACCATCTACAGGGGTTCAGTGTCTCCCCACCATCAAAGACAGTTCAATCCCATGCTGAGGAAGCCACTCAGTGGTACAGTACTTGCCCAGCATACAAGAGTTTAACCCCAACACTGCAAAACACAATTGGAAAAAAAAAAATAGTTTGCCCCAGACCCCTGACACTAATGGTGAGGTGACAGGGAAACAGCCATTCATTTCATTTGCCTGTCTTCCATCTTGATTCCAAAGTTGGACATAAACATCCCTCACAGTTATCTTTCACTAACATTTATAATTATTCTTCCTTTCAGTATTGCAGTTACAAGGTAATTTTTTTAATTTTTAAAAATTATTTTACTGTATGTGTCTGTGTGTTTTGCCTGCATGTATGTCTGTGCATCATATTCACGCAATGCCAGAGAGGCCAGAAGAGGGTATCAGATCCCCAGGAACTGGAGTCATCAACCATTGTAAGCCATATAAGCCATGTAGAGGCTGGGAATCAAACCCAGGTCCTCTGGAATAAAAGCTAGTGCTCTTGACCACTGAGCCATCTCTCCAGTCCCAGAAGTAATTTTAAAGCAATCCCAGGTTAGAGGTATAGCTCAGAAGTAAAGCCCTTGTCTAGTATGAGTGAGGTCCTGGCTCCACTCCCAGCACTATAAAACAAAGCAAATTTAATGAAATAAAACGGCCTTTCTTAGTCTCACCGGAAGGACACCTCCCTAGAGGGGAGCACGTCTTGTCCTCCAGCCTTGGGAACCATGCCCTCACCCATTAGCAGGTACAGACAGAAGGGCAGAGAGAGGATTCCGAAAGAAAGCAAAACACTGAGAGACGAGCGTGCTTGTCTGTCAGTGAAACCCTCCCAGCTCTTACCTGGGCGACTGTATCCTGTTGTGTCCTGGGTGGAGATTGGGTACATAGGTGCTGGGCCAGGGTAGAGATGGGAGGCTTGTGGATGCCCATAAGAGTTCACTGCCAAAGCAAAACACGAGTTACTTGACTAGGGGACTATTGCAGTCAACAAGGCAGGAAGAAAGAACACGTTCCCTGTCCCATCAGTCTCTGTCTCTCTTCCTGCAAGCAGGAAGCATTCTGCAGAAGCTACCAGTCCTCAGTTCTTAGGGTGAGAAGGGATGGGGTCTAGAACTGTGAAACATCAAATCTGAGAATAACCAGAAACATGATAAACATGATCATCAGTCTGTTTTCCCCTGCTTGACCCCCACCTCGTATGAAGATTATTACTGGGACAATTTGGAATAAGGACTTTCTTTAATAAATTCCCTCCCTTTTTAATTAGTAACTTTGATCTCCCAAACCAAGGCATGGAAAGGAACAGGCCAGCTGCTTCTGCGGTTCTTCAGGACCTCCTGCAGGAGCTCATTGAGTTGACAGATGTCCAGTCAATAAACCAGTCCCAGGACTCAGCCTGGTCACTGCCTGTAAGATTGCTTCCTCATTTCTCTTTTCCCTTCACCCTTCACTTCCCTCCCAGTCTACTTCTCTGGCAGCTTTGTGGAGTACCTTGGTTCATGGATGGCTCCGCTTTGCCACTGGTGAGAGCACAGGAGTCAGTGATGCGGGCAGGGGCAGGTGGTCGGTGGGAGCCCCCTTGCGGGGGCATGTGACCAGTCTGGGTGAGGAAGTGGTTGAGGGAGTCACACAGGTTGGCGATGTGATGCTGGTCGAGGGTCCAGTTCTTCTGCTCGGCCTGCCGTAGACTCTCCATCAGCTCTACGATGAGAACACCAGCCAGGCCAACCCTGAGCAGCTAGCCACCAAAGCCACCACCACACCACCCTGGTGCACGGTTCCCTCTCATCTTGGACCACCAGCATTGTACACTAACAATAATGACTTATACCTTTTTCTTTTTTGCTTATGTAAGTATATATTGAAATGTGATATGACGACAAGTATCATTAAATGTGCCAGGTTTTAATTAGTTTTTACTGCTTACTTTAACCTTATTCTGTACTCACAATTTTAGAATAAAATAGACTAGAAATAAGCCTACTCATTTCACTCTAGCTAAGGATGCTTCTTGCAAAACTGAAACTACTTTGTTTTTTTTCTTAAAGGGGAATCCCAAAATGACCATCCAGAGGCCATGAGTTCATCTTTTTACAGTTCCGCCTTTCAACTTTCCATTCTATTTGTTCCTTGCCAAATTTTTATTTTAATTTGCATCTCCCTAATGGATAAAAGTGTTCAAAGTGACTTAATGGATTCACTATCGTCTCTGACAGGAAGCATAACTACAAAACTGTGGTCCAGAGTCTGAATCCCCAAGATCCTTTCCTCTTCCCCATGACAAAAGATGACTGGCATAAAGCAGTGTAGTATCTGAACAAGGGCAAACACTTGAGTCAAACCTGAAAACACTTATATCTTTCTTGTACAACATGCAGAAGTGATGAAAGTCTCGGCCCCACACCCATTTGGGCATCACCTGGGTCCTGGAACCTCCCCCTCTGCTCCAGAGTGGACCTAAAGCGCTGGCCTGAGAACTGGGACTGCTCAACGCTCTCCCCCTCTGCTCCAGAGTGGACCTAAAGCGCTGGCCTGAGAACTGGGACCGCTCAATGCTCTCCCCCTCTGCTCCAGAGTGGACCTAAAGCGCTGACCTGAGAACTGGGACAGCTCAATGCTCTCCCCCTCTGCTCCAGAGTGGACCTAAAGCGCTGGCCTGAGAACTGGGACCGCTCAATGCTCTCCCCCTCTGCTCCAGAGTGGACCTAAAGCGCTGGCCTGAGAACTGGGACTGCTCCATGCTCTCCCCCTCTGCTCCAGAGTGGACCTAAAGCGCTGACCTGAGAACTGGGACTGCTCCATGCTCTCCCCCTCTGCTCCAGAGTGGACCTAAAGCGCTGACCTGAGAACTGGGACTGCTCAATGCTCTCCCCCTCTGCTCCAGAGTGGACCTAAAGCGCTGACCTGAGAACTGGGACTGCTCGATGCTCGACCAGTTGAGCCGGTTCACCATTTTGAAGCTTTCCTTTAAGGAGTCGATACTGGAGCACCAGTCTGGAGGAAAGGCTGTGGAGAGAAAGGCAGGTAGTGAGACAGGGTGTAAGAGAGCAGCCAGCACATGCCAGTTTCTCCCAGCTACCCGCCCAGAGTAACAGCGGCGTTCCCAAGAGAGCTGTGGACTCCCTCACCGGAGAGTCAGGAATGGCGGAGTGACCTGCTCTTTTAGCACCAGCAGTTCAGAGGCAAATATACAAAACAATGCTAATTCATCTATGAATAGGAAGGGGAAACAACGAAATCCCCAGCCTCAATCCTCCATAGTACAGGGCTTTGTGTAGCAACTCCATCGGCTGAGATGAAGGAAGAGGGTGAGAGACTGAACCTAAAAGACCAACTGTTAGCTTTTGCACCCACGGTTCCTCCACGCCGGCAGAACACGGTTCACTCACCCTCCTCCCAGCTTTCTCTGTCCCCTCCGTGCTCACCAAAGCCAGAGCTGTTGATGGGCGCCTGGCTCTGCGCTTGCTGCTGCTGCGGTGGCTGCTGGGCAGGGTGGGGGTGGGCATGGTGCTGATGAGGGTGGTAGCCTCCGTGCTGCAGTGGGGGAGGATGCATGGCCATCACACCGGGGGGTCCGTAGCCTTCAGCTCCAGCCTGTTTTCCCCCTGGTGTCGTACAACCATCAGGGCTTGGGGTGTGCAGTGGAGGGGCACCCCCTACAGCGGAGGGGCCCTGAGTGGGTGCCTGGGGCTGCTGTGGCTGTGACTGCTGGGGTGGCGGCGGCTGCGGCTGCTGTTGCTGTTGCTGCTGCTGCGGCTGCTGCTGCTGCTGAGGTGGTGGCTGCTGGTACATGTAGTAGTTGTTAGAAGGCTGCATGTCTCCCAGGAGTGAGGAAAACCCTGCAGGGGGAGGAGGAAGCAGGTAAGTGATTTGAGCTATACAGTTTCACTACATGACACCTCTCAGGATGAGAGAGCTGGGGCAGAAGAGTTGAAAGGACAAAAGTATATTCTGTGACTGCAAGGACCCTGTGTCCCTCCTTGGAGATAACAGACCAGAAAAGCAGTTAAATAAGAGGAAAACTTTGACCCACTGGTGACCACGGAAACGTTAATAAAAATTTGTAAAAACCTCATTGGTGACCTTTCATGCTCCTTTTAGGGGATTTAGATATAGGGCTGGAATCAGTTTCAAAGGAAGTCACATAGCAGATGAATTTTAAAAATTAAATTATAACTAAAACAAAGCTATTAAGCAAGCAGTTTGCTCCTCCTGATTGTCTCTGCAGCCCCCTCTACTGCCCTGCCTGCTGGTCTTCACAACCAGGAAAGGCAGCTTGGGTGGGAAGCAGCACACAGACTGATTGATTTCTCAAGCCAACTGGGCAAGGAAGAGCTAACTAAGAGGGGTAGCCTGCAGCCCCCAGGCCAAAGGCAGCTCAGGATGACTACGAATAAGCCAACACAAAGCCATAAACTCTCAACCACTAAACCATCTCTCCAATCATTAAGTTTCTTAAAACATTATGAAATACTTTTCTTAAACTTTGTTTTCTGGCTGGGTGGTGGTGGCGCACACCTTTAATCCCAGCACTTAGGGGCAGAGCCAGGCTGATCTCTGTGAGTTCGAGGCCAGCCTGGGCTACAGAGCGAGATCCAGGACAGGCACCAAAGCTACACAGAGAAACCCTGTCTCAGAAAAATAAATAAATAAATAAATAAATAAATAAATAAATAAATAAATAAATAAGGAAGGAGAAGGGAGAGAAGGGAACAGGAAAGGAGGATGGCAGAGGAGGCCTGGGGGGAGGAAGGAGGAGCAGAGAGGAAAGGGGCAGAGGAGGAGAAACTCATGACAGATCAGCAGGTTCTGAAAGGGGCCCAATCAATGTTATGTTTTCTCTCAGCTGGATGACAGACCTCAGACAAAAAAGGCAGTGTGACTGAGGCCCTCGTGCCCCCCCCCCCCCCCCCGTCATTCTGTCTAGCCCATGCTGCCTACAATGAACTACCAAACAGATGAGAAGGCCCGACACCCCTCTTGAACTCTCAGGCCCACCAAGACTTCTAACTTCTTTTTAAAGATATATGAACTGGGGCTGGAAAGATGGCTCGGCTGGGAGAAGTGTTTGGTGTGCAATTGTGAAGAAGCAGGTGTTCGAATCCCCAACAGCTATGTAAGTGCTGTGTGGGTGTACAGCCACCTGTAATCCCAGTACTAGGGGCGGGGGGTTCCCGAGCAAGGTGACTAGCTAGACTTACCTAATAGGCAAGCCCTAGGTTCAAGTGTGACCTTGCTTCAATATATAAAGTGGAAAACACCTGATACTGATCTCAGACCTACACAGGCATATACATTTACACATTCACACAGACAGACAGGCACACACACACACACACACACACACACACACACACACACACACACACACTTGGACATTCAAACGCAAACACACATACATGCAAAAATATGTGCATGTATGTGCAATTGTGTGTGTGTGTGTGTGTGGTTGCTTGTATGTCAACTTTACACAAACTAGGGTCATCTGGAAAGAAGGAACATCAATTGAGAAAATGCCTCCATCAGATTGGGCATGTAGGCATGTCTGTGGGTCATTTTCTTGATTAATGATTGAAGTGCGAGGGCCCTAACCACTGTGAGCACTGCCATCCCTGGGCAGGTGGTTAAGAGAGCAAGCTGAAGGCTAGAGAGATGGCTCAGAGGTTAAGAACACTGGCTGTTCTTCCAGAGGTCCTGAGTTCAATTCCCAGCAACCACACGGTGGCTCACAACCATCTGTAATGAGATCTGGTGCCCTCTTCTGGCCTGCAGGGACACATGCAGGTAGAACACTGTATACATAATTAATAAATAAGTAGATAGATAGGTAGATAAATAGATAAAGAAAGGAAGGAAGAAAGAAAGAAAGGAAAGAAGGAAGGGAGGGAGGGTAAGGGAAGGAAGAAAGAAAGATGAAGCTGGGCATGGTGGCACCCACCTTTAATCCCAGCACTCAAGAGGTGGAGGCAGGCAGATCTCTTTGAGTTCCAGGCCAGCCTGGTCTACAGAGTAAATTCTAAGAGAGTCAGGGCTCCATAAAGAAATCCTGTCTCAAGAAGAAAAGGAAAGAAAGCAGGCTGAGCAAGCCATGGGGAGTACGTCAGTGAGCAGCATTCCGCCATGGCCTCTGCTTCAGCTCCTGCCTGCCTCTCCTCTCGAGGTGTCCCTCAGCCACGGTCTTTACCACAGCAACAAAAAGCAAACCAGAAGAGTGTACAGATCTACTCATCGCGGGGCACAGAGCCGCGCCGTCTCTCAGGAGGCCACCCCATAGGGACTTAAAGTAGTTCTCGCTCAATAATTGTAAAATTTGCACATGGGCACGATCTCAGGGGCTGCTGAGAAGTTCTATGTGCTGTGTAAGGCGTGGTAACAGCATGGTGGAGAACTAGAGGAGAGGTCCTCATCGCTTAGCGGTGCACACTGAAGCCGAATTTACAGGGGATGCGATGTCTAGGAAAGTCACTCAACTATTTCCACCTCCAAACAAGCTCAGTGGCAAATAAAATAAGCTTAACAAAATAAAGTTAAGTGATAGAAACCAGGCGTTTGTTATTTATCCACTCTACTTTGGTATCTGTTTGAAGTATTTTACAATAAAAAATAACAACGCTGGGCCATGGTGGCACACGCCTTTAATCCCAGCACTCGGGAGGCAGAGGCAGATGGATCTCAGTGAGTTCGAGGCTAGCCTGGTCTACAAAGTGAGTTCCAGGACAGCCAGGACTGTTACACAGAGAAACCCTGTCTCGAAAAACCACACACACACACACACACACACACACACAGAGAGAGAGAGAGAGAGAGAGAGAGAGAGAGAGAGACTGACTGACTGACTGACTGACTGACTCTAATCCCAGCACTCAGGAGGCAGAGGCAGGGGATCTCCCTGAGTTCAAGGCCAGGCTGGTCTACAGAGTGAGCGGTTTAGGACAGATAACCTGCATAGTGAGACTTGTCTCAAAGGAAAAAAATCATAATAATAAAGCACTAGGAACTGGAGGCGAGCTTCAGTTGGCAGCCTCAGTCCTAGCTCAGTGCTTGCTCTGGTTGTACTGAGCCCTGGTTCCAACCATAGCACATAGACAAGGTGTAACAGAGCACACCTGTAATCCCAACACTCAGGTGGGAGAAGAAGGATCAGAAGTTCAAAGTCATCCTTGGCTACATTGTCTCAAGCTCAAGGCCAGCCTGGGGTATCTGCCATTCTGTCTCAATCTAACTTACTAACTGGAAAAGAAAAGTTACTTATAATAAAGCGGAAAGATTCTTGGGGAAAGAGTACTACTACTGTCCCCTAGTGGTCATACTCTGAATGACTGGCTCACAGCCATAAAATCACTACCCCAGAAGCAGAGGTGTGGCACAGTGGTAGAGCACTCACATAACACACACAAGACCCTGGGTCGGACCCCGAGCACTGGGGCAAGGCATGTGGGGGAAATCTCTGCCTTTGGATGGTCCTCCAATTCAGCTTGTGAAGATAATAACCCAGTGGCCCCTGAATTCGCTGTCTGGCACCAAACAGTTTAGTCCTGTTTCCTCTGACAAGTAACCAGTTCACATATTAAAACAAGAAACCGGGGGCTGGCAAGATGGCATATTCAGGTAAACGAATTTGCCGCCAAACCCAACCCAAGTCTGATACCTAGGACCTATATGGTATAAGGAGAGAACTGACTCTCACAAGTTGTCCTCTGACCACATGTGTGCACATGCACACACACACATGCACACACATGCGCGCGCACACACACACACACACACACACACACACACACACGCTACAACGTAATTTTTTTTTTTTTTTTTTTTTTTTGGTTTTTCGAGACAGGGTTTCTCTGTGTAGCTTTGCGCCTTTCCTGGAACTCGCTCTGTAGACCAGGCTGGCCTCGAACTCAGAGTTCCGCCTGGCTCTGACTCCCAAGTGCTGGGATTAAAGGCATGTGCCACCACTGCCCGGCTACAATGTAATTTAAAACAAAAAAAAAAAAAAGACAGAAAATTGGAAGAGAAGAAAATGTTACCACTTATTTAACAATCTAAAGAGCCTTTAATCCCGGCACTCAGGAGGCAGAGGCAGGCAGATCTTTGTAAGTTTGAGGCATATTCCAGACCAGCCAGGACTACACAGAAAGGCCTTGTGTCAAAGAAAACGAGGAAAACAGGAAAGGAGCTCTCAGGATGTCACATGCCTGTCCTCGCGGCACTCACCGTGCTGGGAGGAGGACCTCTCCAGCATGGACTTGTAGAGGTTGCGGAAGGACCAGCTTAGGTCCTGAAAGTTGATCTCTGAGTAGGAGAATTTGAAGTCGTGGTTGGTGTTGTAGAGGGGAGGGGCACTGTCTGTGCTTTCTCGGCCTGGAGCCCCTGCTGCCACTGCTCCGCCATCCACAGACCCTGGGCCCTACAAAAACAGGTAAGGGCGGGTAAGGACGGTGAGCTCTGTCCCTTCTGAAGCAGTATAACCCTCCAAAGGGCACCAGGCTCTCAGGCCTGTCCCCGGCACCCTCTCCAGCTGACCCATGGCACAGCGTCACCTGCTCTTCCTGGCCTCCTTACTATCACTACCCGCTCCTTCTCTAGGACCCTCCCAGGGTCCTCCTGTCTTCCCGTCCCAGCTGTGGCTTTCCTGGCTCTTGCTCTTCTCACCACTTATTTTCCTGATTTGCTCAAAATTCTGCCATCCCTCTGTCTCCTCCGTCGGCTCCCTCTCCTCCCTTCTGGCTGGGTTTCCCTCTTTTGCGTTTTTCTTCTTTCCCAATCTACCTGCCTAGCATATCACGGTCCTTAACATGTAACTGTGAACAGAGCGGTATCCGAACCTACTCAACCATGCATCGGTTGCCCTGTGCCTGTGGCCCCTGCGTCCTACCTGGCTGTAGCTGGCCATGGAGGAGGGGCTCTGCAGTGACATCTGAGGATTCCCTTCATGAGGCAGCGAGGTTTCTCCACTCCCTGGAACACCTCCCCGGGGGCTTTTGCTGGCCTCCTGTTCTGGGGAGTCTTGGGATGGCTGAGAATTACGAAAGGAGAGAGAGCCATACGCAGGGGTGAAACGCCCACCCGAAGCCCATGCTTTTGTCTCCCCTTTGCTGGTGTTAACCCACATTTACCACAGACATGACTAAAATCCAAGAAAGGGATGTCCCCAAGGGGAGAGAACTTACGTCATCATCTGGAGGGTGTCTTCTCTTCCGGGAAATGTCCGGGCAGGTGTCAATTGTCCAGTAAGAGCCCTGGAAGGAGAAGCCAACCCCACGGAGAAGAAAAGCATTACCTATAGATGTTCCCTTTGGAAACAAGTGCCCAGGAAGTTTCTTACAGCAGTCACGCTGAAAACGGGTGGGGCTGGGGACGCGACTCGTGGTGGAATGCTGGCCTAGCTCGGACAACGCCTCAGATTGGATTCCCCAGTACAGACCAGAAGAGAGGAAGAGGGAAGTGAGACCAAGCCGGAGAGAAGACAAGGAAGGGAAGGAGGAGAAGGGAAGAAGTGGGGCTGGGCGTCCAGACAGAGTCCTCGGGAGCCGGGAACTCGCGAGGAATGATCTGTCCCCAAGGTCACTGAGCAGTCCGAACACCAGCCTCAAAGGTCCCAACCGGGCAGACGAGCAATGGTAATTATGTCGGAGAGCTGGGAATGGCCAGAAAGCCCTTTCTCCCTTACGACCTGAGGCAAAAGTCCAGGGGGTCTTAGCATCTGTCAAATGGGGAGAATGGCGTACCCCCCTCCCTTTGGAAGGTAAAACCTGAAGACTCTGCACAGAAAACCTTCCAAAAAGTTAGTGAGCAAACTGGGTATGCTGGCACACACCTGAAATCCCAGCACTCAGGAGGGACTAAGGCAGGAGGATGGCGAGTTCAAGGCCAGCCTGGGCTACACAGCGAGACTTTGTCCCAAAAAAAAAAAAAGTGACTAAGTCAACATTTCACATGTAGGAACAAGTGCCACTCAAAAGAAAGAAGCCGCTGGGCAGTGGTGGCGCACGCCTTTAATCCCAGCACTCGGGAGGCAGAGCCAGGCGGATCTCTGTGAGTTCGAGGCCAGCCTGGACTACCGAGTGAGTTCCAGGAAAGGCGCAAAGCTACACAGAGAAACCCTGTCTCGAAAAACCAAAAAAAAAAAAAAAGAAGAAGCCGCCCAGCCTGGGCTACAGAGTGAGACTAGCTCAAAAAATAAATAAATAAATAAATAAATAAATAAATAAATAAATAAATAAATAAATAAATAAATGAGGCTGGCCACAGTGGTGCGTGCCTTTGCTAGTTGTTTGTTTGTTTGTTGTTTTCTAAAACAGAGTCTCTCTACTAGGCCCTGGCTGTCCTGAAACTCTATAGACCAGGCTGGCCTTGTACTCAGGGACATCCACTTGTCTCTGCCTCCTGAGTGCTGAGATAACAGTGTGCAGCACCATGCCCATCTTGGTATATGCCTTTAATCTCACCACTCAAATCTCTGAGTTGGGGGCTAGCCAGGTCTACATATTAAGTTCCAGGCCTACACAGTAAGACTCTGTCTCAAAAGATAGGAAGAAAGAAAGAAAATAAGGAAGAAATGAGGGAGGGAGGGAGGGAGAAAGGAAGGAAGAGGGAGGAGACCCTCAAAATCAACTCTATCATAAGCATCCCTATTAAAAACAAAAAGATTTCATCATCTTCCTTAGTCACCCATTCTCGTGAGGAACCAGAAGCTTGGCAACCACGTTCTTCCTTTGAGGAAGAACAGAGATGCTTTGAAAATTAACACGGTTTCCTCCTCTAGGTAATCAGAACAGCCCAGGACTCTGAGTGTCAACTACCTCGCTGTCCTCCTCTCCTTTGATTCCCCAGCGGCTCACCTTCCCAGGGTCGTCCCGAGGTCTGGGCACCTTCCGGAAGCACTTGTTAAGAGAAAGGTTGTGTCGAATGGAATTCTGGGGAAGCAAAGAAGCAAGTTAGGTCGAGCACTGGGCAAACCACAGTATTTTCCGAAGGACACAGAAGAGCATACAGTGAAGTTCCAGGCACATTCAGCACCTCCTCACTGTATTGCTGGAGGGAGTAACACAGAAAGCAGAGGGTGTGAAAGGACATCACGAGTTAACTGGCGAGGGGCTGGCGACCAGGTGCTCCTGAGAGCTTATAGTTCTTCAGCCTTCCTACCAAAGTGACAACAGGTTATAAATGCCTCAAGCCAGGAGGGTCGCTGAGGTCAAGCCTAGCCTCGTGATAGCAAGTTCCAGGACAGCCGGAGTTACATAGTAAGACCCCGCCTCAGAAAACGAACAACAAACATAGCCAGCATGGTGGCCCACACCTGTAAGCCCTGCACTCAGGAGACGCAGGCAGGAGAGTGGCCACAAGTTGGAAGCTAGCCTGGTCTACAGTCACATGAGTTCTAGGGCAACCAGGACTGCATGAAAAGACCATCTCTCAAAAAATAAGCCAGGCATAGGTGCATGCCTTTAATAAGCCCAGCTCTCAGGAGGAAGAGACCAGTGAATCTCTATGAATTTGATACTACTCTGGCTTACACAGTGAGTTCCAGGACAACCAGAGATGCAGGGTGAGGCCATGGGAGGAGGGGTGCTGATGGGCTGATGGTTCGCCCTGGGGGACCTGATCCCTGGCACCCCACATTCAGATGGAAGGGAGAGAGTCAATTCTACAACGTTATCCTCTGAATTCCACATGCACATCATGGCACACGCACGTACACACATGCACACACCATGTACACATACACACAATAATAATAATAAATTATAAGTAGGAGCTGGGGAGATGGTTCAGTGGATAAAGAGTGTAACATCCGCCGGGCGGTGGTGGCGCACGCCTTTAATCCCAGCACTCGGGAGGCAGAGGCAGGCGGATCTCTGTGAGTTCGAGGCCAGCCTGGGCTACCAAGTGAGTTCCAGGAAAGGCACAAAGCTACTCAGAGAAACCCTGTCTCGAAAAAACAAAAAAAAAAAAACAAAAAAAAAAAAAAAAAAAGAGTGTAACATCCAAGCAAGAGACCTAAGTTACCTAAGTTCAAATCTCCGAAATTCACATTAACTAGGTATAGCCAAGCACACCTGCAATCTCAGAGGTTTTAGGATTAGATGTGAAGTGGAGACATAAGAATCCCTGGAACAAACCAGGCGGTGGGGGGTGGGGGGTGGTGCTCCTCACACCTTTAATCCCAGGACTGGGAAGCAGAGGCAGGCATATCTCTGAGTTCAAGGCTAGCCTAGTCTACAGAGTGAGTTCCAGGACAGCCAGGGCTACACAGAGAAACCCTGTCTTGAGAAAAAAAAAAAAAAAAAGAAACAAACAACAACAATAAAAAAGGCCAAAAAGAGAACACCTGGAAGATCACACTAGCCGGTCTGGCATAAAGCAGTGAACAATAGGGACCCTGCCTGAAACCAGCGGGAAGAGGGGGATCACACCCCAGGCTGTCCTCTAACCTCCATTGCCACGCATAGCACACATGTACTCACACTCTGCACACACATCATAAACACACACACACCAACAAATAAGCACCTCAAATTCATATCTACCTCACTTCTCAATTCCCTCTGAAAAGCGAAAGAGCAGCATTTTTATACTGCTTATAATATATGATGACGACAGCCGGGCGGTGGTGGCGCACGCCTTTAATCCCAGCACTCGGGAGGCAGAGCCAGGCGGATCTCTGTGAGTTCGAGGCCAGCCTGGACTACCAAGTGAGTCCCAGGAAAGGCGCAAAGCTACACAGAGAAACCCTGTCTCGAAAAACCAAAAAAAATATATATATATATATATATGATGACAAGACCAAAATCATTCAGTGGGGAGATGGCCCCCTGAGTAAAACTCACAAGTGTGAGGACTGATTTGAATGCCCAGGACCCACATAAAGCCGGGAGCAGAGGGTGTTCTGTAATACCGCAGCTACATACGGAACACTGTTGTCCTACAGCAAATGGAAGGCAGAGACAGTGCTCACGGTTCACAGGCCTGCTACACATCACACAGTGTTAACAACCAAGAGACCCTGCCTCCAACAAGACAGAAGGCAAGGACCAGCACCCAAGGTTGTCTGCTGACCTCCACATGTGCTGTGGCACCCAACACTATGGCCCTCTTGTACCCTAACACACAAAAATGTGTACACACACACACACACACACACACACACACACACACACACACAGACTTTAAAAAACCACAGCACAGATCAGCTCCATTTTCTCAGTAACACACAGAATGACCATATCTGGAGAAAAGGAAAGGCCAGAGTATACACGGTAGGTACATTGAGAGTTGTAGCCTAGCGGGGACACATTTACCAGGGGAAGATCGAATGCTTCCAACAGCCTCAATTCATCATCCGGTTTGTAAGTCGGCTGGTGATTTATAGAGTGAGAAAACCACATTTAATGCCCACTCCTACTCAAGAGCTGGCAAATGAGCTGCTGCTCCAAATGATTACAAGGAAGCCTCGCTTGGTGGCCCTTGCCTGTCACTCAATATCGGAAGGGCAAGACAGGAGAATCAGTAGTTCAAGGTCAGCTGCAGCTACATCGTGAGTTCCAGGCCAGGCCAGCCTGAGCCACAGTCACAAAATAAATAAATCCTTGGGGGCTTTTCTTGTCATTGTTTGGGTTCTTCTTCCTCTTCCTCCTCCTCCTCTTCTTCCTCTATTTCTTCTTTATGGGTTGGGGGTGGGTCTCACTATGTAACCCTGGCTGGACTGGAACTTGCCATGTAGACTAGACTGGTCTTAAACTCAGAGATCCACCCACCTATGCTTCCAAAGTGCTGGGATTAAAGATATATGTGACTAGGGCTGGAGAGATGGCTCAGAAGTTAAGAGCACTGGCTGCTCTTCCAGAGGACCTGAGTTCAGTTCCCAGCACCCACGTGGTGGCTCACAACCACCTGTAATGAGATCTGGCGCCCTCTTCTGGCCTGCAGGCATATATGCAGACAGAACACTGCATACATAATAAATAAATCTTTTTTTAAAAAAAAAGGTATATGTGACTAAACCTGGCTAAAAAAAACCTATAGTTTAACATCAACCTTCTTTCCATTAGTTCTGTCTAACAACCTCGCTGCCTGCTTAGTGAACCTGCTATTGGTAAAGGACCTGGTTATTCTCTTTTTCTTAATATATACAATATTTCAAAGGATGATAACAAGGAAGCTACAGAAATTTGACGAGGTTCCTACCCAAGGAGGAGTCATGCCTTGCCTTGCTCAATGACTTGAACATTGCAGGGTGACAAGAAATCCAAGACTGCCCTTTGGGGGAACCAGACAGTAAGAGGGTGTGGACACCAACAGCACCTGCGATCCCATAACTACACTTAATGGCTGGCGTCACCAGTGTTCCCATGATAAAGCTTGTGAAGAAGTTGATTAATGCTAAAGTAAATCAAAGCAGAGGTAGAAGAGAGGAGACCTTGAGTTTATGCATCCCTGAGACAGGTCGGAACGAGCCAGACCAGGTCACAGGAAGACACAAAAGTAGAGAAGAAGGCTGCGAGCGGCTTAGTGCAAACCCGGGAACAGAAACAGTCCCACCTTCCAGCCAATGCCAGCGTTCTTGTAGTAGGGGAAGTTATCGCAGATCCAGCGGTAGATCTCACTGAGGGTCATCTTCTTGGCTGGAGAAGAGTTGATGGCATAGGTGATGAGGGTGGCGTAGCTGTACCGCGGCTTGCCGTCTTGGTGGACGGCTGCCTCATCTTTGCTGAGGGTGGCGTTAGGATCCGTGGGAGAGCCTGGGGAACACTTTCGGCTGCCCCCTGGAGGTCCAGCCTGAGAAGCGCTCCCAAGCTTCTCAATACTAGCTCGGAGAGTCAGCTGGGGCAGCCAGTCTATGGAGGTGAGGCTGCTCTCTAGGTCGGAGGCCATTGTACTTCTGGGTTCTGCAGGGAAGAGGAAGGCAGATGAATTTCCCGTTTACTGGGACAAGAACTACTCCATGTCCAATCTATACGGCAAGCAGTTTCTTCCCACTTTAATTCCCATTGGAGAACCCGATCCTGAGATGACCCATGATCCCAAGTGCAAGTACCACCAGCCACCCACCAGGTGACAGAGAGTGCTTCGGACCCCACATCTTATTGGAGAGTGTGACCACAAGGCCTCTCCCTTCACGCAGGGTCAGATCAACACCCCACAAAAACTGAACTATTCCCTCAATTCTCCTTATAGCCCCACAACACAGTATTTTTAAACTCTATATAAGAATAAGTTAGAAGAAAAAAATCCACCCCACTTAGACAGCAGGTAAAATTAGCTGAAGTCCATTCTCCAATTACATGACACTTGTATGTTTATATATAGCGTCCACAAGTACACAGCAATTGCACATATAAGACAGTCTAAGCAAACACAAGCATGTACCAGCGAAGCACACATCACCACTCCCAAAGATGCTTCGTACAAAACAGGAGCACTCAGCCTTTTGCCGCACACACGTCCAACATAAGGTATATTAGACATATCCCAAGGGCAGGTTCTAACAACTGAGCGGGGGCTGGGAGCACAAGTCTGTAACCTCAACTGCTCAGAGGCTGAGGCAACAGTATCACAAGTTCAAGGCTTGCCTGGGCTACACGGTGAGTTCACAGGCAGCCTAGGCAATTTAGTGAGACACTATCTCAAAATAAAAAGTACAAAAGACAGGGCAAGAGATGGCTCAGTTTAGAGCACTTGTTGCTCTTGCAGAGGATTTGAGTTCCATTCCCAACACTCACAACCATCTATAAACTCCAATTCCAGAGAATCCAACACCCTCTCCTAGCCTCCTAGAGCATGAGACACACACACATGATACACATACATACATAAAAAATAACTTAAAAAAATAAATTAAAGGCCGGGCGGTGGTGGCGCACGCCTTTAATCCCAGCACTCGGGAGGCAGAGCCAGGCGGATCGCTGTGAGTTCGAGGCCAGCCTGGGCTACCAAGTGAGTTCCAGGAAAGGCGCAAAGCTACACAGAGAAACCCTGTCTCGAAAAACCAAAAAAATAAATAAATTAATTAATTAATTAATTAAAAAACAAAGGGGGGCTGAAGGTGTAGCTCTTGCTTGAGACCCTGGGTTCGGTCCCCAGCACCACAATAAATAAATAAATACATAAATAAATGACCAAACGATGACACCCGGCAACAGCATGATACAAGATTGACACATGGGCAGTGAGTAGCGCACACACAGAGGTCACAACATTTACATGGCATACATTACCAAACAAAGTCACACAGAAGAAACAGATCCTGAGCACACAGCTACCCTCACACCTTTAAAGCTCCCCCTACCAGGCTCCCGCCCACAGACACCAGCACCAGGAAGAAGTCATCAGCAAGGACCTCCCACCTCCCAGGCCTGCTGGGCTTCACCAAGCCAGGGAGACACCCAGCTGTGTGCACACCGGTAACAATCAGATAGCCTGGCTAAAAATAGCCTCCGTGGGGCTAAGAGCTGGCTCCCCTTCCCCGCCCTTCCCTCCCTCCTTCCTTCCCAGTCAGGCACGCAGACGGGCTGCACCTCCATGCAAACTCCTGGAGCTACGATTCCGCCCACGCCTGATGTTTGCCGGTCCTGCCGCCAACCAAACCGCCTAGGCTCTCACCACCAGGGAGGTGTAGCTAGTGGCATGTTGGTGGAGGAAGGTGAAGAATGGGGGAAGCTGTATTGCAGGGTCCACAGAGGCTGACAGGAACCTCTACATAGCCGTGCGGCACTTCCTTGGAGCTGAAGCCAGCGAGCCCCCAAGCACTGGCTGTCTAACAGGTTTGTGCCTGCACAGATGCCAGATGCCAGCTAGCATGCCTTGCTCAGTTGCAGCAGGACAGCGCTCTGCACCAGCCAAGGCTACCCCTCAGAACTTAGAACGCTGGTGAGAACCCTGTTCTGCGGGTGATGTCCCTCTCAATCCATAGCCAAAAGGTGCACAACCAGATGAGTCACGGGTGAGGATGCACAGACTCACTCTTGGCAGGCCCAAACTCTGTCTCAAGCAGGACCCCCCTCTCTTAACCCCAGCACACCACGTACCTTTCTGGCCCTGTTTCATCCTAAGCTGAGGTTTCGCCACAGACACTTGCCCTTTCCCCTACAGGTCAGAATTCTCATTCACTCCCCTCCTGACCAGGTCCCACCCTTGAAATCAACCTGTGCTCACATGTACCTGGCCCAGAGCTCCCAACCAGCAACATGCCTAGTCCACAAAGCTGAAGGAAACATCTTCTGTGCCTCAAGGGTCCAGGCAGCAAGAGACCTAACTGCACCCCAAGAGTTGTTGGAGCAGAGAAAAACAATGGGGCTGTGTTGGTAACCTGTACCAAGAAAGCTTTCCATTCAATCTTAGCTCTCTCCTCACCAGCGCCAACCTTCTCACCCTAATACCGCCACCTTGCCCCAAACCCTGGAAACTTGCAAAACAAGAGGGACATGTCATCACTCCGGGAAGCCACACACCTTCTAACCTTTTGCTGTGTCAAAACATCCCAGCCTCAATTAGCAAATTCTCAAGGACCAAGTTCATCCCTAGAAAGATAGTACCCTGCTCCCTAGTCAATCAGCCACTGGCCTCCTCGACCCAGGGCAAGTGCGTGCGTGCGTGCGTGTGCGTGTGCGTGTGTGTGTGTGTGTGTGTGTTGAGTCTGCTGTCCACACTGGTCTCAAACTCCTGGACTCAAGCAGTCCTCCTGCGTTACCTTCCCTGGGTCTACAGGGCATCAGTCCAGTCTAGCCCCTATTATCTCCTGCTAAAGAACCCTGGAAAATCTCATCTTTAGGGCCAGAAAATTTCAGTTATTTCCTCTGAAATGCTCTCAACCCCCACCTGGAGCACGAGGGTGGATTTGAAGTATGTAGAGGCCTTACATTTGACACATGCCAACCACCAGGGATTCCTGAAAGGGAGACACTACCCGACTCTTCTAGCTCTTTCTAGCTGTCCTGCGCCCTTCCCTCCCTCACCCCACACAGCAGGACCCTGAGGTTAGATGCCTTTCTCCACTACCCTCCCAGGCAGCCCTCCCTCCAAATGCAAACCTCAGCTCCAGGTACATTCCAGCATAGCTCGCGAAGCTCACAGGGCCTTGTCCTCCTGGTCTCCCGGCACTAGGCTAGCCTGGCCCATTTCCTTACCCCTCACTTCCCCATTCATAAAGGGTAGTGAAGATTGACTGAGCTTCCTCCATCCTCTTCCCAACCCCAACACTGACTCACCAAGTGCCCCTAGCCATCTCTCGCGCCCTGATGAAGTCTTGATGCCTCAGTTTCCCCCTCCAGTAAAAGAAATGAAGTCATAGCCCCTACCGAGGCTTCATCCCTGGAGGGACAGGAACGAAGCTAATGAGCTCGTAGCTGCCACACATTCCACACTCCCCAAAATAATGGCACAAGGCTAATGTCCAGGCTATTATTAGAAAAGCTAACAAGAGGTGACTCCATTTCTCAGGCCAGCCAACCTAGTTACCCAGACCTCTCTCCAGGTGGGCCTCGTGCCACTGGGCTCAGGCAGAACCTGAGTCAGGCCACATTCTTCTCCTCGGCATGCTGGAAGACTCAAAGGAAATACACACAGAATCTGGGAAAGGCGGCCAAAGGGCAGGCTCCATCACATCCACGGGACAGCTAAGGAAGACTACAGTGCTGGGAAAAGACCGAGCACTAAACAAAGGCAAACAGAAAGGCTTCTTGGGGAATGAACGGCCGGCCGGAGGTATGGGACCGGTAAGAGCCACAAGAACCTGCGCTGTTTACTGCCCAATTTACCCAAACAGCTAGTAACTGTTCTCCACGTGTTACCCAAGTCAGGTACCCAGGAGGGATAACTTCCTGGGCTGTACATAATGCCAAAGCTAATAGGGCAGTGATAGAGTGTATCTTGTGATCAGCCACGCTGCCTGGGTTTCAAGCCTAGCTCTGATGGACAAGTCGTTTAACGTCTCTGTATCTTAATTTCTAGCTCTGTAAAGTAAAATTAAAAATTCTAAAAAGTTAGATACAGTGACTCAAGCTTGTACTCCTAGCACTCTGGGAGGATGAAGCAGGAGGATTGCCATAAGTTTGAGCCAGCCTGAGCTGCATAGTAAGCTCAAGGTCAGCCACAGCTACATAGAGACACTGTCACACAGACATACACACACACACACACACACACACACACACACACACACACATCTAAAACGTTTTTTTAATTTGTTGTTGTTGTTGTTGTTGTTTTGTTTCTCAAGATGGGGTTTCTCTGGGTAACCCTGGCTATACTGACTACACAGATGTCCTGGAACTAACTATGTTGTCCAGGCTGTCCTCAAACTCAGAAATCTGCCTGCCTCTGCCTCCAGTGCTGGGATTAAAGGTGTGTCCCACCACCACCGAGCTTAAAATTCTTTTAAATAAAAATTAACTGTTCCTAAAGAGTTGTTGTGAAGATTATCTAATATTTCTTAATATGCTTAAAGCACTTAGTAAGTGAACCTTTATTTTTGAATAAAGAAAAAAAAAAGAGTATCAGTAGGCTTGTATGTATGGTTCAGTGTGTTTAACATGCACATGCAGCCCAAATTTCAGCACCAAGCATCGAAGTGTTTTTCTGTTTTGTTTTGGTCTTGGTGGTGCACACCGTTAGTCCCAGCACTCAGGAGGCAGAGGCAGGCAGATCTTTGTGAGTTCGAGGCCAGCCTGGTCTACAGAGCGAGATCCAGTAAAGGCACAAAACTACATAGAGAAACCCTGTCTCGAAAAACTAAAAAAAAAAAAAAAAAAAAAAAAAAAAGAACACTGGCTGTTTTTCCAGAGGGAGGACCTGAATTTAATTCCCAGCACCCACATCTATCTGTAACTGTAGTCCCCATGGGATGATTCCCTCCTCTGATGTGCATACTTGCAGAGAAAATTATATATATATATATACACATATTGCATAATGTCATTTTAAAAAAGAAAAGAGAATGTCAAAAATTATAGCAGATTGTAGAGGCAGCATTAGAAATATCAAAGGTGCAGGGTATCAAATCTCAAAGTCTGTCAGGACATCTGAATTTCAAAGGTTTCCTTCGAGTTCATATCAACCCAGTACTGATTAATATAAGATCGGGAAACCTCCAAGGATGAAGGGATGGGGGAAATATCATCCCCTGTCTTTCAAGGGGATTTAGATGCAGTCATAAGATACAGTCTGGAAAACAGAACACTCCAAATCACAGTTAATCCGACCAGCCCCACACTGATTCCTGTCCCAGCAGAGCCAGTTGAATGAGTGGGACCGCCTGGGGCAGCGACAGGACAGTGCACACTGAGCCATTCAGAAGTGGCACTCTAGCATCTGGCAAAGAGCTGTGGAAGAAACAGGCCACTGCTACACCAGAGACATCTGTTTTTCAAAAGTGGGAGAGGCAGTTCTAGACATGGAAGTAAAGAATACCCATCTTTTTCAAGACTGGAGGTAACCATGATGAAGCTCAGCTCTTCTACCTGTCCGGGAAGAAACAGGCCCAAACAGAGCAAGGGCTGCCCTGCTGCCGGGGATGACTGCCAACAGGAGACCACGAGAATTCCCACTGGTGGGGGAGGGGGATGGCTAGCTTTCCTCCCACTGGTCATCTGCACCCTCACCTCTCCTAGGTCCTGGCAGAGGGTCACCTGCTTCTACATGCCTGCCAGAAATGATTCTAAGGGATCAGAGAGCAGTCTGAAAACCCCAGTGTACCCTTCTCCATGTACATACTCAAAACACAGACACTAAACCACATTCATTTCCACTGAGAAACGTGTACTTCATTCTACGGCACGGCCATTGAACCCGTGGACCACAGCCCTGTTTCACACACCAGCACTACAGAAACCTCCAGGATCAAGTGGATGGGCAGAGACTTGAGCAATCTGTCCATGGCCCACCTAGGGAGGCAGACACTGGAACCCAAGGGGAGAAAACTCCATACAGAAGATGAGGCGTGGTCCAACGACCAGACTAGAGAGCAGGCCCGCAGGTAGTGACCTCGGGTGAACACTCACAGCTCCACTACAGACATAGCCCTGGCTCAACCAGGAAAATTCCTTGGTGCCTTTTCTCCTGCTTTTTCTAAAGAGTCTGGATTTTGATGATTCCTTAAGGTAGGATGAAAATTTTCACCACAAGGTTCCTGGGACCCAGAACTAAACAAGAGGACAGGAAGAGAGACAATGAGACCAGTAGATGTTTTCCTGGAAGCAAACTCTGGAAAACTCCACGGAGGTCAAACCTCCCGTGGTCAACTCATGCAGACGAGGTGTGGAGGAAACTGGGAAACACTGTCTGCCTCCTAGCAGAACCCGTGTCTAGGAAGACTTCAGCCCACCAGTGTGCACTACCCTAGACAGTTTTTTCTCACCTCGGGACATGTGGATTCACATTTCCCCTTGGATGGCAGATATCCAGCCTGAAGCGGGGAGGTCAGAAGGGCCTCCTGGTAGCCAAGATAGAGAGAGTGGGTGGGGACAGACTGACAGACAGGCAAACTGTCAGTGTAGCAGACTGGAAGGAAGACCTCTGCTGGCCATTAAGCTGACGAAGGCATGCCCTAGACAAGACACAAGATGCCCCCATGACTTTACAGTAGGTCCACTCACCAGAGGACAAGACCCGAAGACGGAGAGTGCAGTGGGATTCTGGCTGTGCCGTGTCCTGCATTACTAACAGTAACCATGGCGTCCTGAAAACGCACCTGTTGTCTGTTCTCAGTACAGAGCATCCACTTCTCTAGGAACTGCAAATGACCCATCCCTTTGGTCTCCAAAATCTAAAAAGCCCGTTTCTCAGAGTCTCTGCAACAACATGTGGGTTTCAGTGCAGAAGCTCCATCAGAAGACATTTCCCAGGGGACTCTGCCTTCCACAGGAATGAACCCCAAGATCCACCATGTCAGCTCCCCATACCTACTGGTGCGGAAAGACCACAGAGAGAAAGATGCGAGAAAGCACTAACCTGCCTCCACGGTTCCCCCGGCCGCCACCGGAGGAAACCACCTGGTACAGAAGTTTGAGGTTGCAGGGATTCCCCTCTTCACAGGTGGGTGACGGGTCTCATCCTCTGTGACTCTTCCAGTGCCTGGCGGAGCCTCCCAAGCTGGAGCGGGGCACTGAGTCCCCCGAGGAAGAGGAGCCGAAGGAGGAGGAGGGGGAGAGGGAGGACCTACCTGGGGAAGGTGGCACACCCCCCACACCCTGCCTGCTACCCTAGGGAGGAGGGGAGGAGCCTCTCCCAACCAGGAGTTGTCTCCTCCCCTTTGGGGGAATCCCCCTCCCCCCCAAACTGGATCTTTCAGGGGCTGAGGGCTCTTTCTGTCTGCTGGAGATCTGAGCTGAGGGGCTCTGCCCGGGTCCACTGTCTAGGTGCACGGAAGTTGAGGGGCGAGAGGTCCTCCACTCTCCAGCAAACTGGACCGGATTGCTGGCGGTTCCCTGGAGGGTCCTGGCTTGTGCGTGTCCGGTCGCCTCTCAGCGGTGAGTACGGGGTGGGATGCGGGGTGCCTACTCCACGGGCACGGCTCCCTTTCTCTCTGCCTCCAAAGTCCCGAACTGTCTGGAGTGCGTTGAGGAGTGGGGGCGGTCTCCCTCCGGGTCCTTCAGGTCCCACTGCCCTTCCCGACTTCTGGGGGTCTCCTCCAGAGCCAGCGTGGGAGGGACAGCGCGTGCCCTGCGGCGATCTCTTCTGGCTGTCCCGGGAGTGCGGAGGGTCCTCCTTCCCACGGGAGAAGGGGCAGGTCCCGGCGCCCGGTGCCCCGAGGGTGGGGTCCACGCACTCCGGCTCGCGCCCGGCCGGCCTGGGCAGCAGAGTCCCGGAGGCCGCGGTCCCGGCTCCCGTCACCCGCTGCCGGGCGGCAGCGCCTCCCCAGTCGCGTCCCCGGTCCGCCGCGCTCCCCCGCGCGTGGGGCTCCCCGCGCTGCCACCACCGGGGCTCCGGCCGGTCGGGGTTCCCGGGAGCCGGCAGGCGGACGGAGCGCGTCGGGGCTCGGCTCGGGCTCGGCTCGGCTCCGCTGCAGGCCCCGGCTCCTCCCCGGCCTCGGCGCCGCGCTCCGCGCCCCTCCCCCTCCCGCCGCCGCGGCCACCGCCTCCCGGCGCGGGTTAAGGAGGATCGTGGATCCCCGCAGCCCGCGGGTCGCCTGCCCTCCGCGCCCGGGCACCAGCGGTGCCAGCGTCCACGCTAAGCGCCACGCAGACCTCTCATTGTGCTGTGGTCTCCTCCTAGACGAGCATTCCCGGTTTTCTGAGAAACGTGTTTGATGGCTTCTCTCTTTCTCTTCCAGACCGCTTATAAAGGGTTATGGAGCCTGGCGTCAAGTTAAAGTTTACTCTTATCCTGGAGGTCAGTGACTGCTCCTTGGATCGGTGGACGTATGAAAGGATAGATGAGCTTGTTATAGAGAAATAAGCAGCGGGAGATGGGGTCTCGTGTTAGCTCCCGCTCTGTAAACTTGTGCAAGGCCCTTGTTTCTGGAGTCCTAGGCACCGAAGAGGGGACTTGGATACTCTGGCCTGCCTACTAATATGGATGTCGCAGGATGTCCCAAAGGAAACGATTTGTGTGGAGATGCTCTTTAAAACCGTACAATATACAAAGGGTACAAAGTAGGATTATTAATTTCCCCTTGACATGCCTATAAAATATTTTTGACCTTTGTGCTAAAATCAAGTGACATTCCTATAAAACACTCCTTACAGAATAATTTCCATCTCAGGGCAGGAAATACCGCCAGGGTAGCCCTTCTCCACTTCTACCCCTCCAGTCACGCTATTCCAGTACAAACTCTTACACATTTCACCCTCAGGCTTATTTTTTCTCCAACTGTGTTTTTATATAAAACAAGGCAAAAAAGAAAAAAAAAAAACCTCAAAAACTATTCATTTGCTATTTGAATTGCTCGAAAAGATTACAGTTTGATAACTACCTTTAGATAGTAGTGCCATTTGTCTTCTGGCTAAATGTGTGCTACTGCAATTAAGTTCTAGGTACATATAATTACATTACACATACAATGTGCAGGCATTAAGCCTTCACACTTCCCATGTGTTATCACATTGGATTCTTCTAGCAATTACATACAGCACTGTTATTATGCCTTTTAGAGGGTAACTATGGCTTGAAGATACTGTGTCTGAGTTCACAGAATTCACACCATTACATAATTAGTACTATTTTAAGCCAGGTATTAAATACAAATGACCTCAGAACCAGGTTCTGAACCTCTAGTATATCCTTGGCTTGAACTGTAAAAACGTAAATCATGCTCGAATTGTCAGGAGTGAAGCCCAACACAACTGTTCCCCTCCCCACACCTCCGATGTCCAGTTTAAAGATGCATGTCCCCCAGCATGGGGGCGCCCACCTGTGATCACAGAGGAGGGTCTTGAGTTCAAGGCCAACTTGCCTCCCTGATAAGACCCTGTCTTTAAAAGGAGAAGAGGAGGCTACAGTTATAGCTCGGTTGGTAGAGTGCTTGCCTTACAAGCATGAGTCCCTAGGCTCCGTTCCTAGCACCACAAAAGCATAAACCCTATATGGTGGCAAGTACCTATAGTCCCAACACTGGGGAGGAGAGACCAGGAAGATCAGGAGTTCAAGGTCAGCCTACACTACTAATCAATTGGGAGAGAGAGGTTGTTATAAGACAGGTCTCACATAACCCGGGCTGGCCTCAAACTTACTGTGTAGTAAAGGATGACTAAACTTCTGGTCCAGGCCAGGCAGTGGTGTTACACATTTTTATTCCCAGCACTTGGGAGGCAGAGGCAGGTGGGTCTCTGAGTTCGAGGACAGCCTGGTCTACAGAGTGAGTTCCAGGACAGCCAGGGCTACACAGAGAAACCCTGTCTTGAAAAACCAAGAAAAAAAATCTTTAAGATTCTGATCCTGGGCTGGAGAAGATGGCTCAGCAGTTAAGAGCACTGGCTGCTCTTCCAGAGGACCCAGGTTCAATTCCCAGCACCTGCATGGGAGCTCACAACCATTTGTAACGCCAGTCCCAGGGGAACTGATGATACCCTCTTCTGACCTGCGTAGTTACAAGGCACACACATGCACATACATACATGCAGGCAAAGCAGTCATATACGTAAAAAATAATAAAAGAAATAAATAAATACAATTTAAACTCCTGATCCTCCTGTCTCCCCCTGCCCAAGTGCTGGGATTACAGGCCTGTGGGCACAGTTGCTCTGGTGGTAGTAGTTTTGTTTTATTTTGTTTCATTTATATTTTAGTTTTTTGTTTGGGGTTTTTTTGTTTTTGTTTTTGTTTTGTTTTGTTTTGTTTTTTTCGAGACAGAGTTTCTCTGTGTAGTTTTGGTGCCTGTCCTGGATCTCAATCTGTAGACCAGGCTAGCCTCGAACTCACAGAGATTCTCCTGGCTCTGCTTCCCGAGTGCTGGAATTAAAGGCATGTGTCACCACCGCCCAGCTTTATATTTTAGTTTTTAATTATGTATCTCTGTGTGGGGTGCAGGTGTTCTTGGAGGGCAGAAGAGGATATGGAATCCCCTGGAGCTGGAGTTATGGCGGGTGTGAGATATCTGATTGTGGATGCTGTGAACCCAGCTCGGCTCCTTGGCAAGAGCAGCACTGCTTTTAACCACCTAGCATCTCCCCAGCCCACACGTCCAGTTTTAGGTGGCACTGAGACAAGCGTCCTACCAACTGAGCTACATGAGATGCTTTCTGCAACAGACCAAGACAGCTGGACGTGGTGGCCCACATCTATAATCCCCAGCACTTCCAAGGCTGAGACAGGAGGGTTGCCACAGTTTGAGGCTAGCCCAAGCTACACATTGAATTCCAGGCCCAGCCTGGGCTTCAGAGTCAGAATGTATCTACAAATCTTTCTGGGTCTGTGTTGGATGGTTTCTTTAATTTTCTAACATCACATTTGCAGGGCAGCGGTTAGAGGTAGAAGTAATATAAAATGGAAAGGCTAGGGTGTGGAGACATGCTTAACAGAGCATACGGTTCTTACAGAGGACCAGAGTTTGGATCCCAGCACCCATGTCCAGCGCTCACAACTGCCTGTAACGCCAGAGGAATCAGGCACCTCTGAGGGCACAGGCACTCATGTGCAAGACCCACACACGTATACAAAATTGAATTTTCAATAAAAATCCTTTTTTTAAATGGAAAAATTAAAGATTAAAATTTCTTAAAAATTTGAAAAAATAAAGCTCAAATATTGTTCATGTATACAAGATGTTGGCTATAGCATTTTTATAGAAGCAAATAAAAAAGAACTTATAGTAAATCTACATAATAGAATATTATTTGGCATTAAAAAGAGTAATTTTATTTAATTCTATGTGAGCCCAAATAAACCCTTCCAAAAAAATAAAGAGTAATTATATTTAATTCTGGAAATAAAATGGTTCAGTTGTTTTTATTTTTCTTTTTTTTTTTTTTTTTAAAAGATTTATTTATTATGTATAGTGTTCTGTCTGTACATACACCTGCAGGCCAGAAGAGGGCACCAGATTTCATTACAGAAGGCTGTGAGCCACCATGTGGTTGCTGGGAATTGAACTCAGGACCTCTGGAAGAACAGACAGTGCTCTTAACCGCTGAGCCATCTCTCCAGCCCTGTTTTTATTTTTCTATGTCATCATTTAAATATATATACCTTTTTGCCTTGGGTATGATAACTTTAGCCAGTCATTTTTATACGTCTGTATTTGAATAAGAAAATTATATTTCAAGAGTCGGAGAGATGGCTCAGCAGTTAAGAACATTTCTCTTGCAGAGGTCCTGGGTTCAGTTCCCAGCACCCACGTGGCAGCTCACAATACTCTGTAACTCCAGTTCTGGGAGGTCCCACACTCTTCTCTCCTCAGGCCCTTACGTGCTCATAGTACACATACTTACACTCAGGCACACAGACATACACATAAACTTATTCTTTTTTTTTTTTTTTTTTTTTAGTTTTTTCTGGAACTCACTTTGTAGACCAGGCTGGCCTCGAACTCACAGAGATCCGCCTGGCTCTGCCTCCCCAGTGCTGTTATTAAAGACATGCGCCTCCACTGCCCGGCTCATTTTTTTTTAATAAAATTATGTTATAATAGTTTGCCTAATATGATCAAATAATGTGTTTTAAAAATATGTGCCTGGGGCTGGAGAGACGGCTCAGCGGTTAAGAGCACTTTGTAGAGATCCTGACTGAGTTCAATTCCCAGCAGCCACTTGGTGGCTCACAACCATCTATAATGGGATTCGATGCCCTCTTCTGACATGCAGGCATAAGTAGAGCACTAACATACATAAAATACATAAATAAATACATCTTAAATAAATAAAAATATGTGTTTGAACGAAGATGACACCAAGAGACGCGCCAGTGTGGAAGGGGTGAAGCTCAGCGGCCTCAGCCGTGGACAAAGAACTGTAAGCCACAAAGGAATGCTGAGGCTGGTGGTCGTCCCCGAGGAAGAGCGCAGGGACTGCTTATCCAATACCAAATGATCAGCCCCGAAAACACGTACGTGTGAGTGACCGTTTACGGACCATGCTGTATTTAGGAATGTGCGTGTGTGCGTGTGTGTGTGTGTGTGTGTGTGTGTGTGTGTGTGTGTGTGTGTGTGTAACAACAAAGAGAAAGAGGCCATAAATTTAAAAGAGCTGGGGGAGGAGGGATTGCACATGGGAGCCTTAGAAGGGAGGAAAGGGAGGGGGAAATGATGTGTATTAATGGAATTCCATTATCTTTAGAGGATTTTTTTAATGTGTATTGGAATACTTAGGCCTGAAATGCCTGAAATTTGTCTCAAAATAATCGTGATCAAGGAGACATGTATAGATGATAAAACATTGGCCAAATATTGCTTATTACATTTAAAAATAGTGAGTTCCAGGACAAGGTTACACAGAGAAATCCTGTCGCAAAAAAAAAAATATATAACTAGATAGATGGATGG